TAAAGAGTTGTACTGTGTATCTTTCATAAATAATCACATAAATATAGACATTCCATCTGTTTGCTGCAGACTTTGTCCATAGTTCAGGATTTATAAATGATAAATAGATGACTTATCATGCTTTTGGCATCATGTGTTTGTGCTAAATCTATTTCAGCTTATTGATCATATATAAAGGCATTTCAAGGGGAAATGTGTAACTAAGTGCAATGTTTATTTTAAAATATTTGCAAAATATAATGTAATGTATAAAGTGCACTGTCAATAAAGGAGAAAATGAGTCATAGACCTCTGACAGTTATGTGTTCACAAGATAATAAATTCTCTGGAGAGGTACAGTAAGGAGATGTGAAATATTATGCAAATTTGTAATTTGAAAAAAGAACATTCCATTTGTTCTGAAAACCCATGATGAAGCACACCTGGCCGCTTAATTGAAATGAATTACTGTCCTTCAGTTAAAATTCCTCTATTTGTTTAAAGCCTATATCATTACAGATAGGGTTTTTTTTTTCTTTCCTACTATTCTATGACCTGACTTAATTTCCAGCATATGGAAATGAGAAAATGAATGAGGAAACCGTGTACATCAATGTGTGTATTAGAAAATGCTGGTCTTAACTATTGTATAAAATATTTTATATAGTGCACTGTATATAAAAAGTTAGAATGGTTCCAGAATCTGTCCTCAGTTGGAATAAGTGTTTTAGCTATGTTCTAAACTCTAGCACCAGTCATCTCTTCCTAACTGTGATCCAGAATATGTGTTGCACTTGGATGTTGTTCCCATTTCTGAAGCTACAGCACAACAAGTGCAGGGATTTCTATAGAACTTTTGTATCATAGGCTCATATGACTAAGCAGGTATGTGCACACACAGGGGGCTCAGGGCCTAGCAAGATTCACACTAATGTTCATTGCCTGTAATGACATTCTGGTATGTTATGTATGTTGAATATTGAAATATGTTGCTTGTGTGTCTTTTATTCCAATACAATTCTCTAAGAATTGTTAGCATTTTACTTGAAAATTTTAAAACAATAATTAGCAGGTTAACCTCCCTGGCGGTATTCCCGAGTGTAGCTCGGGGTAACATTTCAGTACCAAAAGCGGTAACCCCGAGCTACACTCGGGAATACCATGCGGCACTGCTCCGGCATGTGTTCTTACTTACCTTACCCTGCGCTCCCGCGATGTGTCCTCCGGCCGATGCCGGCATCCGGCTTCTGTGTCCTGTCCCTGTGACGTCGGGACGTACGGGCGCCGCCACCGCCGGCGGCGGGAAATTTAAAAATTTTTAAAAAATGTCATTTTTTTTTTTTTACATTTTACATAGTAAAACATTGCTGTTTCAACCAATTTCACATACATATTGTCCCTAGTGCTTTGTCCTGCGCCCTCCTGCATTTTGTCTGTTCTTTTTCTGCCTGGAAACTGAGAAACGTCCATGGCGTCCAAAAAGTGTCCCTTTAGGTCAAAAGCGGATGGTTTAGATCAGCTAGAGAACAGCGATAGTAAATCAGAACCACTTGCAGAATTGAGTGATAATGATTCGTGGGGGAAATTCGTCATCAGACACTGAAAACGATTTTGCGACTGAGCTCAGCAATGTGCGAACTTGGCGCTATATTTCACATTTCAGTGTTTTTGGTTTGATTATATTATTGAATTAATTTTTTTATTATTTTTATATATTATTTTTATGATTATTTATTAAATTATAATTTATGATTTTGTGTTTTCAAATTTTATCATACCCGGGATGTTTACTAGACTCTTGTTCGGACAGATTTCAGTGAGTTTTTCCTAAAAATTACAGCCTACAATAAAAAAAATACATATTTCCATGCAAAAAAAAAAAAATGGTACCGCTTTAGCACCAAAAATCTGAAATAATCATACCGCCAGGGAGGTTAAAAAAGATAAGGTATGTAGTGGTATTTTTCATTGAAACATTCATTGCGAACAGTGGTGAATAAAATCATGTATGCATGCTTGCTGTAGCCATAGCATGCATATCTGCACATGGGATCATCCCTGTCACTTTTGCTGTTTTTCAATTTTCTCTAATAATATCAGAACACACTTCATATGGTTTTGTTCCTGTATAAATTGTGCATGTAAAATACCTAACAACAGTCAGTTACACTCAAAAACATTGCAGAATATTATTTTTTTTATTTAAGGTAAGTCACTACTTAGGTTGCTACTTATACTTATAGCATATGTATGGCTACTAGCACATACACTCACTAGCAAACTACACTTAAAATCAAAGTATATATGCTTTATATAAGTAAAATTATTAAGTTATATAGAAAAAATACACAGTATACATAAAAGTGTGCTATTTTAAAATATGGACAATCAAACTATACCTCCTGTGTTAATAACACATATCTAACAACTTATTTCAAAAATACTTGCTATAACAAGTAAACATATTTCATTAATACACCAATACTTATGGAACTTATAACTGTGCATATAGCAAATGAAGGGCTTGCTAAAGATGCATCAACACATTCAGTAATGCCACAAAATGTATAATGTTTATATCCTGGAATGCATAAAGACTGGATTAGGCAGATTTTGCAAAACTGTCATGTTTTCAAAAAGTGGTGAAGAATGCACCAAATTCATATACTTGTCTAGAACTTGTACCTAAATTTACCTCATGCTGCACCAGTTTTAGAATGAACATGAGACAATTTCACAAAATTTGTCCGCACCAGTTTTTCTCTCTGTATGCCAAATAAGAGAGTTGGCCTTATTTAGCTCATCTTTCACATTCAATGCAATGCAATGTAAAAGTGGAGCATTTAATGTGACACAGTATAAATGGGGGAACATTTTAGAACTATCTGAACCAATTATTTTATGAAATAACTAGTGCTAGTACTTCCTAATGTATGGGCATCCTCTTGCAGTTACTCTAACATGTGGCCTATGCCTTTCTCCCCTCTAATGGATTCAGGTGGCAGGGACCACCAAATTGGTGTCTGACCTATGACATCACATCTGCTTGCTGGAAAGCACACTAGCACCAAAGGTAGGAACAGCCAGTGGAGCTGCACTTCTTAACAGTACTAGGCAAGTCATCCTGGGTGCCAGGACTGGCACACCAGTATGTGAGTGCATTATATGTATTTATGTTGTATACATTTTATGGCCTAATATGCATTTTTACACAATGGAAGGTCTCCCTGTCTCTGGCTTATATGTATCCATCAGGAATGTGGAGAGGAATTAAAGAAGGGTGATGCAAGTTTGGATGTCCTTGCCCCCCATGTAAATCCTATCCACTGAAAGGTGAGATTTGGCCTGTGCAGGAAGGGGGTAAAAGTGCCCAGTAGGCAAGTGGTAAGATTTAAGAATGCATAAGGTCAATTTCAACATGTTTCATTTGCTCCTCATTCAGTTCATAGAAGTGAATGGAATCTTTCAGATCAAATCCATATAATTGCTAGCTCCCAACCTTTTGGAGCTGACTAATTTTTTTTTAAGATTTGTCCAAGTCTACACTAACATTTTCCTTTTCTAAAATGTAGTATGTACAGCTGGACTATTTATGTGTTGATTCATTAGTCCCTGATTACAATCAGAATGCTTTTCCTTAAATCAGAACCCAAGTTAAGAGGCATATTTACCTCTGCTTCAATGGTCTTACATCCTCAAGGTCCCTCGCCAATGCCAGCAACTTCTCCCAGTTTCTTTCAGCTGCTAGTCTTTGGCTATCTTGATTGACCAGTGGGGGATTACGCCACTCCCGCCCATGCATAGGAGTTCATTTGCCTGGGACACACAGGCACTGTGACAGAGTGTAAACTGAACTGTGCATGTGCAACACAATGTATATTTTACAGAAGACAGGCAGGTAGGTTTATTTTATTGCATAAGAGACATTTCAGGTCTCTTCTGCAATAAGAAGCCTGCATGCTAGCATTTTTTTCATTTCACATCATTCTACTTTAAGTTGAATGGTACAAAATAATTTCTAAATGTATTATATACTTTTAATAAAAATAGATCAAATCAAAGCAAAAAACAGTTTTTTGCAGCCAATCTGCAAACATATTGAGGCTGGTTACTGAAACATGGGGCAAAAGGGGTCTCTTTCTGTGGTAGCTAAACATTCAAATCAGTATGAAAATGTTCCTTTAGAAGATATTTCCTGATTAGAAACAGTAGAATATTTCTGTGGATGTTACATTTACTGAGGCAAAGTTTGTTCTAGCTTAGCAGAAGCTTTTCAGGACTGATGGGCATAACTTCCCTCTAATGCTTGTCATTACTGGATTGTGTCATCAAGAGACTGGAATAGAACTGAAAAGGGTAGTTCCACAGGGACACTGCTATAAAAGAAAAAGTGGGTCTGACGCCAGCTGCATTAAGAACATAAATATTGAGTTGGCCCACCCTTTGCAGCTAGAACAACTTCAACTGTCCACAAGGTGTAGGAGTGTGTCTTTGGGAATGTTTGACCACTCTCCCAGAAGTGCATTTGTGAGGTCAGGCACTGATGTCGGTTAAGAAGGCCTGGCTTGCAGTCTCCGCTCTAATTCATCCCAAAGGTGTTCTATTGGGTTGAAGTCAGGACTCTGTGCAGGCCAGTCAAGTTCCTCCACCCCAAACTCTTCATCCATTTGTTTATGGACCTTGCTTTGTGCACTGGTGCACAATCATGTTGGAACAGGAAGGGGCCATCCCCAAACTGTTCCCACAAGGTTAGAAGCATGAAATTGTCCAAAATGTCTTGGTATACTGATGCCTTAAGAGTTCCCTTCACTGGAACTAAAGGGCCAAGCCCAATCCCTACACAACAAATCCACACCATAATCCCCCCTCCATCAAACTAATATACTATATATATATATATATATATATATATATATATATATATATATATATATACACTGTATTTCCAAAAGTATTTGGACACCCCTCCAAATCATTGGATTCAGGTGTTCCAGTCACCTCCATGGCCACAGGTGTATAAAATCAAGCACTTATGCATGCAGACTGCTTCTACAAACATTTGTGAAATAATGGATTTCTCTCAGGAGCTCAGTGTATTCAAGCATGGTACCATGATAGGTTGTCACCTGTGGACAATTTCATGCTCCCAAATTTGTGGGAACAGTGTGGGGATGTTCCTTTCCTGTTCCAACATGACTGCGCACCAGTGCACAAAACAAGGTCCATAAAGGCATGGATGAGCAAGTTTGGGGTGGAGGAACTTGACTGGCCTCAACATGATAGATCACCTTTGGGATGAATTAGAGTGGGAGACTGCCTTTTGGACATCCTTCCCAGAAGAGTTGAAGTTGTTATAGATGCAAAGGGTGGGCCAACTCTATATTGAATCCTACGGACTAAGCCTGGGATGCCATTAATGTTCATGTGCATGTAACAACACTTTTGGCAATATAGTTTATATACACACATATATACAGTATATATATATATATATATATATATATATATACAGAACAATTACAATACAATGCATCAAAAATTATTAAAGCATCAATAAACCATTCAATATACACAAATTGCATTGTGTCTAAAATAAATAAATTATAAAGTGTCCAAAATTTGTCCAAAATTTGATAACACAATCTTCTGTAAAGTGACCAGTGCTTCAAAATGCTATAAAGTGTCTGATGCTCTTTGAAGTGTCAGGTGTTATGTCTCTATCAGTGCTCAACTTTTACAACTATTCCTCATTACTCATAAAACCACTCTATATTCCACACCACTCCACTCCACCACCATGTGTTACTTTGCAACACTCCCTTCATCTCCAAGAACTCACCAGAAAATTTTGACCCCTTATTACTACAAGTGGGTGTAAAAGCACTTTTCCCCTTGGAATATTTCCACCATCTTGCTTTATAATCAGATATCAGGTACATCTCATGTCACGCAGGAATGTAGCATGGTGGGGGGAGCTCAGATAACACTTAAATGTCTTCTTTTCACCTAGCTCTGTATAAAAACTCAATCAGAGCACAGCCACATGGCCTGCCTCTTCAAGTGACCACGTCCCCCTTCTCAAAAAACCCAGATAAAATAAAAAGAACACCTAGACATCATGGAGGCAGAACTGCTTAAGGTCATTTTGTGATTTGTGGGTGGGTAATCTCTTTCCTCCCTATCTATCCTGTCAGATTAGCTACTTAGCAGAATGCTTATTTGTTTCTGGTGTCATTGAGGCGTTCATTATCTTTCACTGGCAACAGTGTTTACTGTCAGCCACTAGCATCAGCAGAAGGTAAATTTACAGTACTTGGAGAGTGTGTATTATCAGACTCTGATATCAGTTGGATGCATATTTCAATACCTAGTATTGGTCAGGTACATATTTTCAGCTTTGATATTATGTATTAGTTCTTGGTTTCATCAGGAAGCATATTATCAGTGTCAAGCATTGGCAGGGTGTGGGTTGTCAGTCCCTGGTCTCAATGGAATGCACATTGTGATTCTCTGGTATCAGTGAGCTGTATGTTGTCAGTATGTGATATCATCAGGTTTTATATTGTCAATGCCTGGTATAAGTGCCATACATATTGTCAGTGTATGATATTTGCAGGGTGTGTACTGTCAGTCCCTGGTATCAGCATGGTGTGTATTGTCATTCTCTGGTATCAGCAGAGTGTTTTTTGTCAGTTTTTGGTATCAGCAGGTGTTATCAGTATCTAACATCAGCAGGTTGAATAGTGTCAGACCCTGGTATTAATGTCATACATACTGCCATGCTTTGATATAAAAAGGAAAAGGTTACTAAAGAGGGACAAATAGGGTGTAGTACCCTTCTAGTGTAGTGTAGGCTGATAGGTAAATTTAGCTGGCTCCTCTGTAATCAGATCAGCTGTGGTTGATTTTTTAGGGCTGCTCAATGTCTCACAGACTACTGCTTCAAACATTTATGGGACTCCAGCCAATGCTGGGGAAGTGGGCCCATTAGGTAGATGAAAAGTCCTTAATAGGTGAAGGTTGAGTGCAAGGAGAGAGTACCTGGGTCCAGGCCTGCTAGAGGAGACCTCAGTGAAGGGGGCTCTGCCCCTGGGCCAAAAACACTAGAAGTGAGTCATCAGGAAGACATTGAGGTGCCAGCTAGGCTTAGCTGGGGGGCCTATTCACAGACTTGAAGTCCTAGAATCAAGTTGGGTCTGGAGGAGCTTGCTGGAGAGTGCCAGGAGGAAGTCAGTGGGAAAGAGTCCAGCTCTCCTATGGTAGTGTGAGTCTGCATCTCCCTTACTGAGAAGAGCCTGGTGGATATTGGTAGGAGGCAACCATGATCCTGTGGCTTTAAATGACCCCAGTGCTAGAGAGTCAGTGACTGTGTGTAGCTTTTATCTCTGGAAGGAGTACTTGAATTAGCTTCCTGCTTGTCCCTTTGAGTTCTCATTGAATCTGCTTCCTGTTTGTCCCCTTGGGTTCTCTTCGAATCTGCTTCCTGTTTGTCCCCTTGGGTTCTTACTGAATCTTCTTCATGTTTGTCCCTTTGGGTTCTCACTGAGTCATACTTCCATGGCTCCCGGGTGAGATTCCCCTGGCAATCACCATTTGGGAATTTGCTTCCTGTTTGTTCCTTGGGTTCTCGCTGAATCATACTTCCACGGCTCCCGGGTGAGACTCCCCTGGCGATCACCGTTTGAAAATACTGTCATATCTGTTTTTATCTGATTTGTAAGTATTATAGTGTCTGGTGGCCCTTGGAGTTGGGATTACTTTATGTAGTACGAGATATCATTAGGTATGCTACATACTTGATGTTTTACCCTCTAGTAGTTTTTGAATGCAATTTTAGTGTAATCATGTATTGACATCGGGATTGTATATGGTCAACAGTATATTATGTATGAAATGCATTAATATGGATTCATTAAAAATCATCCTGTTACCATTTTATCTGCTTTTTGTATGCAATTAGAAGTTTATTTATTCATTTATTAAACAACAATGGTAGAAACTATGTATTCATTGGTCGTATGTAATGTGCGTCTATCAAATTCCCATGGACAAATAAATTGGTTGAATGGATATATTAATAAAGGTATGGAGACACATCACTGGGTGCACCACGTCACATTATATTTTGTTACATTAATTTGGGTAGAAGACACCCTGGTCTCCTGCACCATGCAAATGTATAATAATGACAGTGTGATATATTGACTAGATTGTATTGTATTACTACAGATTATGTAAACTACCTTAATATAACATTTCTATTTTCCGATTGATGGCTGGGGTCTGCCTCATCCCAGGAGCTGCGATGCGTTGCGGAGGCTCATGCCTCTATTGGCTGCCCATGCCTCCTTGTATGACAAGGGCGGGGTTTGCGCTGCATCTGCACCACGTCTGCACTTGGTGTGTGATGTCAGCACATTTGCGGAGTCATCACACTAGTGCACCCTGTTTCATCATGCTGCAGCCTTGAGGGGAATTGCACTTGTGGAGTCATGTTACCCACATGGTGGTGGACACCGCCTTGTTGTTGAGTGCCTCCCCTCTTTGACTGCAAACACATGGTGTTGGGAGGGACCTGCAATTAGCCCCTGGTGATAAGTAGTGGAAGCAAATTGGAGGCAGATGGGGGTTATTTTTTCCACGAGGATACTAAGAAGCAATAGTTTGGCTTATAGCTCTTGATTCAAGGTGGGTTATGTATTGGCTGTCTGTATTCTGTTTTTTGCATTTGCTTTCAGGTGCTTGGTGGTCTACTTCTTTTCACTGGTTTCTTTCATTTTTTTTTTTCATTCCACCATGTCCAGTTTTGTGTACCTTTCACAAGCTTACCATGTGTTTCCTTTAATTACTGCTAGGTTTCAGCCAGTGCTGCACTTTATTTTTGTTGTTTATCGCCTATTTTGATTCAAATATCTACAGTATTTAATATTACAATGAGAGCTCTTAACTCATGGTGGTTCATGCTTTGGCTGCCTATATTTTGTTTTTACATTTGGCTCTGGGCACTTGGTGGTCTATTTCTTTTTACTGGCACATTCCTTTTGCTGTGGACTGGACTTTGAAACTTGGGTGTCTTTTCTTTTCTTATACCACTAGGTGCAGTTTTCTGCACCTTCACATATTCACTGTATGTTTCCTCTATTCATTGCTATACTGCAGCCAGTATTGCGCGTTATTTTTGTTGCTTATCACCCATTTTGATTTTATTATTCAATCATCACTATAATGCATACCTGAACATTTTTCTATAGCAACTATTTTGGGTGCCGTTATGGAATGCCCACCCACGTTAAATCTGCTGTCTTTCCATTTTCACAGTTCAGCAAGATAGTTAAAGAGCTTTAAGCTATCCATTTTTTAAGTCGTGGGGTTTCCCATGCTTCTCTCTTCACCATTCAAGTTCTATATTAAAAAAAAAAAAAAAAAAAAAAAGATGCCCTTAGACTGTTCCTTTGAATTGGTGGAAAAGTGAAGGAAATTCTATGTGTCTGACTGCGTATGCTCTAACTGGAGGAATAAGACTAGGTTCACCAGTGGATCTTTCTGGGGTGTGCTACAAGGACAATTGCTCTGGGCCTCTACCATCAAAGAGCACCACCAGCACAGTGGAGTTATCAAATTTTTTCCTTTAGGTCGAGAATGACTATTATTATTATTATTATACAGGACTTATATAGCGCCGGCAGTTTGCTCAGCGCTTTACATTATGGAGGGAGACAGTACAGTAACAATACAGTTCAATACAAGAGGGATTAGAGGGCCCTGCTCCTTGGAGCTTACAATCTAGGAGGGTGGGGATAGTGGTACAAGAGGTAATTAGCTGTGGGGGATGGAGTGATAGGAAGAGTAGAGGATTCCAGCATTAGCTGTGGTCGGGGTAGGCTTCCCTGAAGAGATGGGTTTTCAGAGTGCGCCTAAAAGTGAGCAGAGTAGGCAATAGCCTGATAGATTGGGGTAAGGAGTTCCAGAGGATGGGTGAAGCCCTTGAGAAATCCTGGAGACGAGCATGGGAGGAGGAGACAAGGGAGCTAGAGAGTAAGAGGTCTTGCGAGGAACGGAGAGTACGGTTTGGGTGGTATTTAGAGACAAGGTCGGTGATGTAAATAGGGGCAGTGTTA